AGCAGGTACCTTGTAGGAAACAGGGGGATTGACTTCTCAGGGTCTCAAGAGGAGGGAAAGTGACCAGAGTGAATTTGGGCTGACGTGTAGGATGGGCCAAGGTTGTGAGCTGAGGAACTGTGTTTGGTTGTGTAGGTCGGGAGCCTTGGGTGGTGAAAGGAAAGAGAAGGAAAATTCAAGGAGTGGCCCGTTGGGGGTGACACGGAGATAAGGAATTCATCAGGGTTTTTCCCCAAACGCAGTTATTTAGCAAAAGTATGGAAAAGGTGAGGAAAAGCTGAAAGTATACTTTCAAGTTCATGAAGAGATTCCATGGAGAGATATGCAGAGGGAGAGACAGAAAACAGACATGTTTCAAGTTCAATTTTAAGCCCCTGGGATTCCAGAGAGGGAGGTTTCCAGAGTGACTCAGCATGGGAACGCTGGGACCCAGGCGAGGAGGACACAGCCTTCATGAAGGAAATGGGTTACCGGCATGGATAGCAAGGTTTCCAATAGGAGGTTCATCATTAGGGCAAGACCCAGCTCTCCCCCACCCCTCACCTTCCTCTCTCCCTTCAGCTCCCACATTCTGAGGGAAGAGGGAATGTTTTCTGATAAGAATTCTTGGTAAAGAGGCAATTTCTAACCTTTCTGAATTTAAAACAAAACAAAAAAATTACATGAAACAAATATTTTCAAGGATGTTCTCCCACACTGCCTAGTTCTGTGGTTCTCTCAGAGGACTCCCTGAGCAGAGGGAGAAACGAAAAGAGGAAGAACAGGGAGATGGACTCTCCCCTGCTGTAGCTGGTTTTTTTCTTCCACTGGGGTGGTCCTCCAGAGGTGGGGAGTGCCTGGCCTGTCGCTTGGGAAGGAGTGCACTCCATACCACGTGCCAGGCCTTGCCGCTCATCACTAAGCTGCTAGGCCGCCCAGTCCTCCTCTGTAAGCTCCTGGCAGAATTCTGGATGAGGAAGCCTGGGGTCAGCAGGAGCAACAAACAGACATTCAGAAGCCAAAAGGAGAGCCTTCAGGCAGAGTAGCAAGTAGGAAAGAACACATAAGGAGGTCACCACATCAGTTCTTAAAAAAGAACTAAACTAAAGATACACTTCACGGTATTTATGTCCTTCATGTGTGCACGATTCAATATTTTTACTCCTCTGTATCTCCATTTTTAATTCTGATGGCTACATCAAGGAAAATTTCCAGTCCAGGCTCTAGTCTGACATTTGGGGTGGAGAAAAGCTCTTTTAAACCAGTTAATATAGTATTTGCAGAGTTCCCTGTGTATCCTGGAAACAGAGCACAGAAAGTCCCCATCAAGGATAATACCCCACACCTTCTGCCACCCCAGCTAACAGGAAAGACACAGCCCTTCTCATAGAAATCCCTAGAATATGTATTGAGCAGGCCGAGGAAAGCACAAAGGCTGCCTGCCAGGAAGCCGTTCAGAGCGTAAGCAACTGCCAGTAACAACTGCCGCTCTCACTGAGCCCCTCACGGGAGCCTGGCATTCGATGCCTCCCCTTTCATTCGGTCTTCACAACAGCTCTTCAAGGTAAGTACCATTGTCCTCATTTTGCAGATGAGGAAAATGTCACTCAGAGAGGTTCATTAACTTGCCCACGGTCACACAACCAGAAAGCAGCAGACCCAAGATTTGAACCCAAATCTTTCTGATGTCCACTATGCACACTGCCTTCCACTGGATGAGCTCACTGAAGAAAATGATCAGATAATTCAGGCCAAAACACACAAAGTAATATTATAGCCCAAATGCTCTAAGTCCTATCATTACTGTCCCTGCCCCCCATCATCTGAACGAAGCACACCTGAATTAAAATACCAAGAGCATTCCATGCTCCATGGATCCCATGGAGCAAGGCACAAATCAGGAGCATAGAGGAAGCTCTTTATTATGTCTTGACCAAGGGAGTAGTAATTCGGACACACTCCTGCCTCACTGGTGTCCCACTCCATCAGAAACACCCAGAACATATAGTCAACTGAAGAAGCATTTAAAAATATAATGGAGACTAGTTGCCTCAAATTCTTTATGGATCAAGAAAGGGTATAATTCTATAACATATAAATATGTTCCCCATCTGTGGCTATTTTTCTACTACTAGATGCCCAGTGCTGTCTCTTGTGCACCCAGGATCTGCAGAACATCTCTCTATAGCTCAGAAAGCTTCTATTATGTCTAGTATTAGAGTGGAGCCTGCATTCTATTATACAAAGTATTCATACAAAGGGATCTGTACCTGAATAGTGGGAGGTGGGCAAAATCTCCACACAGGGCCCTCCCCACCTAAAATAAAAGAATATGAGGGCGGTCTGGTTAATAAAAGCCACCGTCCTATGAAGTGGATCTCACTGATTCTTGCCCTTCTTGGAAAATGCCAAAGACAAGTACTTTTGGACAGTGTGTGCTGGCAGATGTGAAAACGCAGTTGAAACACTGCAAAACTCGGATTTTCCAACGATGGAGTGATCAGGACATAGAGAGGGCCTCTGTGCTAAAGGATTCCAAACCAGGCAACCCGCAGAACTACAAGGGAAGTATTTCTAAAAGCTAACTTCCGGCCCTGCCCTGGCCTACTGAATCAAAATGCCCAAGGTATATGGTGATTGGATATGGAACATATGCAAATTCCAAGCTGGGAGTTATTTTCTAAGTAATAGAAATCTTTTACATCTCAAAAAAAAATGTAATGGCCTTTTTACACACACACACACACACACACACACACACACACACACACTCACTCTTAAACTTTTCCCACTAATCCTTTCTTTAGGCCAGATTTTTAGAAAATCATCTCAATGAGATTATGAATGGCTGTCATTTTTAAAGCTAAGAGCTATGCATTGGTGTTCACTACCCTTTCATGTTACCAACTGGGCTATATAAAATAATGGCTTCCTATATTTAATGTGTCTATATTTTCTCAGGGTTTTAGAGAACAAGTGTTCAGTTTGCCCACATGTCTTTACTTCTTAGACGTCTCACATATCAAACCATCAGACATTTGCGGGTGCACAGAGACAATCACAACCTAGGCTTAAAAGGGGATAAACATTTTTCTGCAAAACCTAAGGAATATGTAGAATGAAGTGACCCAAACCACTTCTAATTAGGTCCTTGAGGATAAGATGGGTCCTCAAAATATGTGAGATGCTTTGCCAGACTTTTGAAATCCACAAACATAGAAATGTACAAATATCGCTTAGGAGAGGGATTCCCCTTTCCAAGAGGCAACATAGCACAGTGGTTAAGGATAGCCTTGGAATCAAACCAACCACAGGACAGATCTCACTCCCTTCACTGCTAGTCATTTGATCCTGGGCAGGGCCTCTCAGGGCTTCAGTCTGCAAAATGGAGGTAATGGTATTACCCACCCCATAACGTTGTGGTGCAAATTACGAGAAATGAAGCCTGCCAGACAGCCAGCCTTTTGCTTGGTGCATGCTAAACGCTCAACGAATATTAGCTGTGAATAATGGTGACAGTAAAAATGATGGTGAGCATTAGCTATGTTAATAAATGACAATACAAATATTTTCTAAAACTGTTTCCACCTTCAGAATTTTAAGAACCATGTAAGGAACAAAATGTCCAATTCAGCATTTATAAAACTGTTAAGTTCTGCCACTGCAAGTAAATTCTGCAGATCTTATAGCACATCTGTAAACTAAACTGGTAATGGCAATGGATTATGGTGTGAGCCAACCAGGTGTCCACTGTCTTCCTGACTAATGTAATGTGATACAAAATTCCAAAGACCCTCTTGCCCTGGCCATGGTGAGTTCAGTGGTCACCAGTACCTTCCGTGAGTGACTTCACAAATGCATGTGTATAGCTCCTGGCTTTCTTTAGAATCTCCTCTCCCTTCCGGATCCTGACTATGCCCATCTTCCTCACAGCTCAGGGTAACTACCATTTTAGCTTGATGCTGAAGTATTTTCTCTCCTTTAATGAATAGCTTTTGCCTGGCTGGAGTTCTTACTAAGGAAGGTTGAGATTGTTTTCTCATTTCTATATGGCAAGTATGACAGAGCCTTTAGCACCGTGAGCTGAGCCACAGTCAAATATGAGATCACACTCTTTAATTTATCCTGAACTTTTCTCTTGGTTGAGCCATTGCTCTTTAGAAATACTTCACTCCTCCAATAGCACTAGAAGTTGACTTTCTTTGAGGGGGCCGTTGTAAAGGACACATTCCATCATTCTGGTGGCCAAGTAGAGTGTGTGTGGCCACACTAGAATATGGAAGCTGGGTCTCTGGCAGGCTCCCTCCCTCACTCAGTAATCCACTCCCTCAGCCAGCCCTGCAGCCTCACAAACTAACCACATGCCTTGGAAACACTGCAGATTACCACATGTCATGGACCCGGGAAACACTTGAAATCAGGAATTTTAAGTCACTTACTGCCAGAGATCTGCTACATAAATGGGTTAACTTTTCTCAGTTTCTTTCCCCCAAATGAATGTCATAGTAAGACTTGCTGGCAGGCACAGGGATCCTAAAAGAGTTGAAACAAACAAAACAATAAGGGTATGAGATAAACACTAAGGATCACTCATAGGACCTCATATTTAATGCAGCCCTCTTTGTATTCTTCCCGGCTCTCCTCCTGCTTTTATGTGTGGGGGAAACCACTGTAGGACCACTGAACCAGGAGCTATTGCAAGGAAAAGTATATGGATTGGAGCCCTGACAAAATTAGTGAAAGTGGCCAGTCAGCGATCCTCATCTGGATCCTGAACTTGGTTGGCTTCTTCTGAACCTTCAGACCAAGGAATGTCCTACACAGCACTCTGCTCACTCCATTTCCTCTTCTCAAAAAATGATTGTGTATTTGCCAGGTTACACTCTGTGCCTTGGGTTGCTAGAAATACAGTAGGTTGCACTGATGATTTAACTCTGTTTTCTATAAAGGGCTACGGGATCTCATGCAGATTTTTGCAAAGTCATATGCAAATTACAGAGCCCCGGCCCTTTTCTTAACAGGATGGCAACCTTGCTCCTCGGTGGCACCTGGGACCTGGAGATCCTTTCTCCACTTACGTTTAGCGCGCAGCCTGGGACTTGTCCCTGCAGCTCACCGGGTTAGCCGTGCCGCCGTTGGGACCTCCCACCTGGACTCCCATCACCCACCTCTCTTGAGACTGCTCTGGCAGGGCTGGTGTGGGGTACAGCCTTTGCTCAGAGGGCAACATGTTCCAAGCAAAATCTGCCCATCTGGGCCATGGGCTTGCCCTTCGGGCTCCCTGCTTCTCTACTGGGTGCAATTCGAGGTTGCTGAGCTTCCCTCCAAAGTTGAAAATGGTGGGACAGTAGGGACCTGTGAGAGGCCCCATGACCCAAGCTACTTCCCCGGGCTCCCAATCCAAACACCAGGCTGCTCAGGCCCTCACTGCCCCGGGGGTCTGCAGTGTGAGTGGGCATATTCAGCAGAGGGACATACTTACCTCTGGAGTTTTTCTCCAGATTGAACATCTCTGTTGTCAGTGGCCCCCAGTCTAGAAAACCCATTGTTCTAATCTAACCTACCTCCCCCACATCCTGAGAAAGAGGGAGGAGGAACAAGGGATAGTTTATGGCAGAGAAGAGGAGGGTTGACTCTAGCTATTCCCAAACATTGGCCCAACCACATCCCCAACACATGTTCTATCTGCGTCAGCCTGCCCAGGTTTTGTCAGGATTTTCTGGCTCCTCTAACCTCACTCACCCCTGAAGTCTCTGGTTCAAAGACCACCCTCCTAGCCTTTGTGTGCTTCCAGATTACCCTGTCAAGGGTGGGTGGAAAGTGGGCGAAGAAATAAAGGAAACAAACTGGCTCCATGTTGGTTAACTGTTGAGACTAGAAGGTCGGGGACATGGCCATTCATTCTACCATTCTCTCCACTTTTGTATGTGTTCGCAATTTTTCATAATAAAAAGTTAAAAGTTTAAAAATCCTCCAGCTTCCAAGACACTCAAGAGAGCCCCAACCCCTTACAGAGTTTCCTGGAAACCCCACACCAAGTGAGGAGGCAAAGATGGTTCCATTAGATATATATATATATATGTATATATATATACACTCATTTTCTAATTTTTTAAGGCCCACTGCTTTATTTTCGGTAGACTAAACCTTATTTCTAAAAGGTCCCAACGTTGGGCTCACTTCCCCCAGCTGGGTTATGGGGGAGGGCTGGGTAAAGGGGTCCTTAAGATCCTGAAAGTTTACACTTCCATGTACCTCACAGTCCTGTGAGGATGGGACTTGTTCAGTGTTCTGAACTTTGTGGAGGAAGCGCACGCTCGATTCACAGTGTCATTCCCTGGAATTGCACCTGGCTCAGGAAAGGACTGTCTTTGTACTTGAATTTAAATCCAATGGAGAACCTTAACATGGGCATTTGCATGACTGAGAATTGCTGCTGTCTTTTTTCCGTATGTCACTTTCTTGAATGTGTTCTAATAAAATGATTCTAAAGCAGGCTGTGATATACAGTGATTTATAAATACTTTCTGCTGAGTACTGAGGCCCTTAATTTCCTACCAAGAATCCACCCCATCCCACTTTCTGGAAAGATCTGGCTAGCTGGGGACAGACGCAGGAGCGTACGTATGGCATGCCGTGCTGGTGGCACTTCTGCAATTGTGGTCATTAATAAGAATCATGTCAACCACAGCAATTTTGTTTTCTGGTTGCCTAGCAGCAGAATTTGTTTTCCAGAATAAAGATGGCCATATGTAGTGGATGAGTGCGGGGGTGAGGGAGGGAGTGGAGGTGGCAGGGCAGGAGCAGGAGTATAATTCACTCGACCAGGGAGGGAACAAGGTGGAAGGAGAGACAAAGGCAGCCGAAAAGAGAGACAAGCAAGGTTCATTTGTGTTCTGTTTAGTGATAACTCTCGGCACATTCAAAAGATAATGAGTAGGGGCACCTGGGTGGCTCAAATGGTTAAGTGTCTGCCTTCAGTTCAGGTCATGGTCTCGGGGTCCTGGGATCGAGCCTCACATCGGGCTCCCTGCTCAGCGGGAAGCCTGCTTCTCCCTCTCCCTCTGTCTTTGCCCCTCCCCCTGCTTGTGCTCTCTCTGTCTCTCAAAGAAATAAAATCTTAAAAAAAAAAAAAAAGATAATGAGTAGTTAAATTTTGTTTACAAAATTGCACCTTTTGCTCTCACGCCATAGCAAGTTAGAATCTCAAAATCTCATTAAGCAAACTGGAAGCAAAAGAAGAAAATGTAGATCTCCAAAGGCAGATATTTTAAAAAACACTGTTTATCTCAATCTTTATCCCCTTCAGCCAGACTGGCTAGGGTGCTGCCATGAGCTGGTAACTGAGGCTGGTTCTCTGGGGAAAGCAGCATTGTTAGAAACCTCATAAGGGGCCAGAAGGGCAGAACCAGACAAGAATTCTGTTTACTGAGCACCTTTCTCATGCAGGTGCTGGGAAGGCACTTGATATACATCATCTCCTCTAATCCTCACAGCCATCCTGAGAGGCAGGCAGTTCCGTTTTCATTTTTTAGATGAAGAGCTAAAACTAAAAGAAGTAAATAACTTGTACAAAGTTATAAAGCTGGAAGATAGCGGGTCTGTGAATTTAGGTCTCTGATCTTCATCCAGATGCATGCTTTTTCAAACCACAGGGCTGATGCCACAGTGTCCAGCTTGGGCTCTCCCCTGTGCACTGCTATGGTCTTCACCTTAATGAATTGTACACCTTCTGTCTGCCCTGGGAATGGGGGGTGGTCACAGCCAGTGTCCTGCTCTTCCTTGTGTGATTGGAAGTCTCTTCCAGTCCAGGTCTTTGTAGCCCACATTCATGTCCCTGTGACATACTTGTGCAGAGCATAGGCTGATGAGGCTGAGATCACCTTTGGCTTTCATAGGGTTTGGCTCACTTAGCAAACACCTAGTACCTACAAGTGCTGGGCATATGAACTAGGTGGGCAAATATAGACTCAACCCTGTTCTCATGGAGCTTGCCAGTAGGGGAGACCTACTGTAATCAAGTAACACATGAATGGATTTATAATAACAACTTCTGCAAAGGGCCTTGAAAATCACTGAGATCAGCAAATGAAATGAGACCCAGAAATGCTAAGCACTTTGCCCAGGACCACACAGCGAGTTAGAGGCAGAGGACTAGAACTCCTGGTTTTCATTCTTAGACTGCTGTTTTCCCTGCCGTGTCACATTCTAGTCTGTCGCATGCCCATAGACTGCCCCGAGTCCCAAACACCCAGATAAATATGTTGATCAATCAGTACACTCTCCTCATCCCTAGAAATAACCAGATAACACATTTTGTAATGATAAACAGTATCATGAACCAAATCCCCAAGGATAGCATGTACCCAAGGCTTGTTTGTAGACTTATTTCAGATCCCAAAGCAGGGACAGAGAGGCAAGATATTCATGCTGTAGCAACTTTGCCTAGTAAGGATGCTTGCTGATGTTTCAGTGTTTTGGTCTGACCCCGGTAGTTTCCAAGCTCCTGAGAAACCTCCTTCTTGGGTTCAGCAGCTCAACAAATATTTCCTGAGTCCCTGCTAATGCTGCTAGGCGCAGTTCTCAGTGCTGGGGACGCAACACTGAACAAAATGGACTGCCCTCGGAGAGCATATATTCTAACCCAGGGAGACAGACAACAAAATAGAGAAGCAAGTAATACAGCATATTAGAAGGTGGTAAGTTCTACAAAGGAAAATAAGTCAGGAAAGGGGGGGTAAAGGAGTCTCCAAGGAAAGGATGCATTGTTAGGGTGGTTGGGAAAAAGACAGACCTACCTGAGAAAATGGTGTTCCAGATCAACATTTTATGTGTGCGCGCATGCACGCACACACACACACACCCCACTCACACACACTCACACACACACAGCTATGTAGTGTGATGTGAAGAGTCAAGAGTCCTCTAAGCCTTCCCCTGCCTCCCTTAGAAAAGTGAAAGTTCGTCATTGGCCTGTCCCAGAGCGCAATTCCTGGCTTGCTTTTTCCTCCTTTGGTCAAACTAGGGGGTTCTTAAATTTGAGTGTGTATCAGACTTATCCTGAGGACTTGTTCAAACAGATGGCTGGGCCCCTCTCCAAGAGTTTGTGAATCAGTACATGCGGTTAGATCCAAGAATTTGCATTTCTAACAAGCTCCCAAGAAATGCTGATGCTACTCACCCAGGGACCACACTTTGAGAGCCACTGGGTTAATCTATTATAGCTGGAAGGTCCCTGTTAAAATGAAACTATTACCCAAGAAAGGATGTGTCTGTTCACTAGGGTGCATGGGGGTTATCAGAGCAGCTATCCTTGACTAGCAGGATCCTCAAGAAAGGGGACTACTGTAATTGGGGAAAGTTTTGGAAACCACAGCCCAAGACCCTAAACACTAAGGAGTTCGGGCAAGGGACAGTTCCTGAAAAGTAGCAACAATGATATTTCATTGCTTGTCTATCAGTGCTTTGCATTTTCTTAGCATTTAATACTGTTACAAGTCCTTTAGCCCACTGTTCTCTTTTGGCACAGTTAGCTCATTAGGTAGAACAGGTGTCATTATTACATTCTATGGGTAAGAAAATTGAGACACAAAGAGGTTATATGGCCTCCCTTGGGCATCAAGGATCCCCAGTGGCCTTATGCCTCATCCAGTGTTCTTTCTCCTTTAACACTCTTCATAATGCTAGCTACGGCTTTCTGCTAGGGCATCCAGCTCTGGGTCATTGAAATTCAGGACATAGAGTCGCTTTTTGCCTTTTGCTCTGTTTAAAATCCCACTTGCTGCAAGTAGATTATCCACGTGGGCGATTAACTGTGGCAAATACTAAGCCCTGCATGAGTTTCCTCTGTCGTAAACACATCTCTTCTACTACCAGATATTATACAGAGAGAACGCTAACTCACTTTAATATTAGGCTATGCTAGAGCTAATCATTATGAAAGCAAACCTGCTGGGGGAAAAGCACACATCATACTTCCAAAGGCAAATAGAAATGGCATTTTGATTATATGTACCATTGCTTCCATTCCATTAGCAGGGATAATTGAAAGTTTTCTGTATCACTAAAGCACACAGCAGAATGA